ACCCACCACCACACCAGGCTCCCAGCACCCACCCACCACCAAACCAGGCTCCCAGCACCCACCCACCACCAAACAGGCTCCCAGCACCCACCCACACACCAAACCAGGCTCCCAGCACCCACCACCACCAAACCAGGCTCCCAGCACCCACCCACACCACACCAGGCTCCCAGCACCCACCCACCACCAAACCAGGCTCCCAGCACCCACCCACCACCAAACCAGGCTCCCAGCACCACCCACCACCAAACCAGGCTCCCAGCACCACCACCCACCACCACCAGGCTCCCAGCACCCACCCACCACCACACCAGGCTCCCAGCACCCACCCACCACCACACCAGGCTCCCAGCACCCACCCACCACCACACCAGGCTCCCAGCACCCACCCACCACCAAACCAGGCTCCCAGCACCCACCCACCACCAAACCGGCTCCCAGCACCACCCACCACCACACCAGGCTCCCAGCACCCACCCACCACCAAACCAGGCTCCCAGCACCCACCCACCACCACACCAGGCTCCCAGCACCCACCCCACCACCAAACCAGGCTCCCAGCACCCACCCACCACCACACCAGGCTCCCAGCACCCACCCACCACCAACCAGGCTCCCAGCACCCACCCACCACCACACCAGGCTCCCAGCACCCACCCACCATCACACCAGGCTCCCAGCACCCACCCACCACCAAACCAGGCTCCCAGCACCACCCCACCACCAAACAGGCTCCCAGCACCCACCCACCACCACACCAGGCTCCCAGCACCCACCCACCACCAAACCAGGCTCCCCAGCACCCACCCACCACCAAACCAGGCTCCCAGCACCCCACCCACCACCAAACCAGGCTCCCAGCACCCACCCACCACCAAACCAGGCTCCCAGCACCCACCCACCACCAAACCAGGCTCCCAGCACCCACCCACCACCAACCAGGCTCCCAGCACCCCCACCCACCACCAACCAGGCTCCCAGCACCCACCCACCACCAAACCAGGCTCCCAGCCACCCACCCACCACCACACCAGGCTCCCAGCACCCACCCACCACCAAACCAGGCTCCCAGCACCCACCCACCACCAAACCAGGCTCCCAGCACCCACCCACCACCAAACCAGGCTCCCAGCACCCACCCACCACCAAACCAGGCTCCCAGCACCCACCCACCACCAAACCAGGCTCCCAGCACCCACCCACCACCACACCAGGCTCCCAGCACCCACCCACCACCAAACCAGGCTCCCAGCACCCACCCACCACCACACCAGGCTCCGAGCACCCACCCACCACCACACCAAATCCCACCAGTGCGGCAGCCACGTAAAAGAACCAAAACAATGAAAGGTATGTTCAGCTTGTATTCTACTCACATTTAGATGCCACATAAGCATCAGTAAGTTAATGTTGCGATCTTTGTAGACGTTCCAAACATTGATTTATTAAAAGACTCATATTTGCCTTCAGATGTTGTGCATGGATGCTATATTTATGTTTCGCACACATGCACATGTTGGAGTTAAGACAAAGACACAACAGAGTAAGCTGTGTGTATGTTGTCTGAGAAGCTGAAGTCACATTCATTAAAACCTTTCTATACTTTATAATTGAATAGAAAGCTTGCACATCCTTGCTTAATGTAATATACAGAGCCCAAGTACTAGTGTAATGAATATAAGACTAAAACATATCCACTCAGTAGCAAAGTAAGATGTAATCAGTCCATTAGCAGACACAGCAACATCCCGAAGGAATGGCAGAGAAGCTAAGATTTAGAATGAAAGCATGTGGAGACTCTTAAGCTTCTGTGATTGCTCAGGAGGAAACACTAAATGTGCTTCTGTCACACAGTGGAAAGGTTTGCATTCTGAGGTGAGCCCAATACAAAACGTACTTTACCTGTTCTGTACATTTGTGCAAATAATGTATTCCATACAATTACAGATTGCTCTCACAACCATCTGGAGGTGTTCCCTGTCCGCACCATCATCAAGGAACCCAAAGGTAGGATCACAACCACCTGGAGGTGTTCCCTGTCCGCACCATCATCAAGGAACCCAAAGGTAGGGTAATGATTACCTGGATGACAGTGTTTGCTGTAGAGCAATGACTTACAGCTGCATTTCCCCTTTCGATAAACCATTTCAGGATCGGGGTCTAACCGCCAAAGACTTAACATTTAACGTATGGCATGTGTCAATAAATGTTCTTTAAACAAAATGAAGTCTCTCCTGATTGAAATACACAGAAGCAGCCCACAAGCGGTCCTTGGGATGATAGTACATTATTGAAAACATTAATAACAGAATGCTTAATGCACAACATATCAAGAAATAAGTAGCCATGCTTCAATCCTTTGAGAATACACTGTTTGTAGGCTATTTTAATTTAATAATACATTACATTTATAAAGTGCTTCTGGTCCTCAAAGCGCTTACAAGCAAGTAAAACAAAAATAACAACAAAAGTAGAAAGTGCTAAGCTAGGTGGAATAAGGGAAAGGGTTAGTTGATGAAGGCAAGAGTGAAAAGGTGAGTTTTGAGAGATTGAATGATGTTGACGGATCTGACGTGGCTGGAGAGGGAGTGGGGGAGGCTGCTGCGAAGGCCCTGTCACCCTAGGTCTGGAGCTTTGTCCTGATGGGCTGCAGTAGGTTAGCTTCAGCTAACATCTGAGGCGACGGGGGGGCAAGGTTGTTGAGGGCTTTGAAAGTGAAAAGTAATATTTTAAAGTCAATGCGGTGTTTGATGGGGAGCTCTTGATGGGAGGAATTTAGTAGATAACTTCTAAATATCAGTACAGGGGCTTCAAAGGTTTTTTACTCGTTTTTTGTGGTCTTTTTGGACAGCGGAAGGCTAGATTACCCATAATCCTCAACCACCGTTGCCGTGGAAACGGAGCCGGACCACTCTCCGCTACCTGCATAACCCTAATTTATTTCAGATACCAAACACACTTTTTCCGAAGATTTGTGTCACAAATATCAAAACAATATATGTGTCGATAACAAAATACATCCATCATAAACTAAACTGGAAACAGCAGTATCATTTGTCTTGTTAACACTTTAAAGTTAGTTTTTTTTAACCCGTACCGCCTAGTGGTTAAAGCACGTTATTGAATTTGTTTGTTGAATTATGTTATATTTCATGAAACATACAAATATTAAGAGTACATACATAGGGGGAAAGTAGAAGGTCAATCATATAAATATAGATGAAAATATCAAGAAGATACTGTTGTGATCTCTACAATAAAACCGTTTAGTGCCGGACGTCCAAAGATATTAACAGGAGGATGCAAAACAGACAAACTAAATAGGCTTCTTTTTAACATTAAAGATTACTTTAAGTTAAGGTCTTCTTTTAAATAAGAAAAAAGCTTTGGGGGTATCTACAGACCAATATTAAGTCTGACAAAGTGCTTAACGTTTAATATATTGCATAGTTTGTTTTGGAACTTGACAATCAATTTTCCTGCAATGTTAACTAAGTTGAAGCACTTATTTTAACTGATATTATACATATGTAGTATACTCTTATAAGATGTATGTAGATAGTATAAGAAATGTGCAGAATATGACGGTTTAATGGTGGAGGTATACACACATATCGATAGATGTCTTGTAATGCACTGTTGAGGAACCTGCGACCAAAGTTTTTCATCTCTGACCTTTTTAATCTCCGACCTTGTCAGGTATTGAACATCCAATAAATGAGGAACAGAGAATTATTAAATATAAAACATAGAATTTGTGTGATTATACTAAATGATTTCTAAATAAACACCACTGCATATTTCCAACTGTTACACATGCTGCTGTAACGAAAAAATGGCCCCGCTTGGGATCAATAAAGTATATCTTATCTTAAGATGATCGATGGCTTCTGCCATATTTGCAAAATGTGCCTCTGAACCTTGACAAGTGCATGTTTCAGGCTCATCAATGAACAACAGGAGGGGTCACAGACATAAGACCAGCTGTTAAATCAAGCTCTTCTGACCTTAGCTGTCATGTGGGTAATGCTGCCCATTATGGACACAAGCAATTTTCACCCATTTATTAATTATATGTTTTAAATGTGAAACACATGTGTTTCGTATCCCCTAAACCTCCAGGGATGTACACAGTTTAATACTGGCAACTTCTTATTATGGGAAATACGAAAACGTTTTTTAAAACTACAACTCCCAGTAGAGACGTGCCATAGATAGAGAACATGTTGCGAAACCTTTGTGCGAAACACACAATAGCCAGCACGTGTAGTTCTGGTGACGGGGTGGGGGAGGGGGTGGACCCGTCCGACTCCAGTGTTGGACAGTCTGTCGTGGTTCCATTCCATTTCAAAGTGCTGTTGGACGCTCTGCGCACTGCCACTCCAATATCCAATCACAGAGCTTGAGGACTATCACGGGGTTTGTCAAGCAAAGAAGAGAGAATACTTACTTCCGGGTGTAACATTCTCTAAAGCAACTACTATGAGCTGCTCCGACCCTCGGTCCTGACGGACTCCAAAAGTCCGACATTATACAATCAAACAAATAAACACAAGAATAATTGTGTGTTATTGTTGAGTAAATAACAGTGTGTGGTTTAGAAAATAATACAAAATTAGAAGTACGAGTTGGGAGTGAGAATGTGTTGGTATTTACCCTGCATTATGCACGTTACTAATAAAGAATGATGTTATTGTATTGTATGTATTTACAATGTATTCACATTGTAAATAGTTCATAATCAACGAATGACAAAATGCAGTGACAAGAAAACAACCATTGTATAGCACTTGTTTGAGTAATAAGAGGCAGTTTAATATAAAGGCAAGGCAATTTATTTCCATACACATCAGCAAGTCAAAGCGCTTTAAATAAACGGAAGTACAAAATATAAACACATTTTCACATTATTATGAACTCAGTCGGGCGAAACAAGTGCATAGTTTCATATTGTTCTCATATATAGTGTTTTAAAATGTCTTTATTTTTGTAGGCCTTTATTATGGCGTGCGCCAGCGTGTGGACGTGACACCTCCCTTGTGAAAGAGCTCTCCAGTGCCTCTGTGTTGCTTGGCAGAAACCTTTACAGGTCTTCTTCCTCAGACTCAGGGCTAGTGTAGTCATTGTCATCCGACTCCTCAATGTCCTGCTGTAATTGAAGATCATGTCATTCCAAAGCGGCTACACCGCTGTACGCATGTACAGCCTGTTTGTGTTGGCTTTGGAGGAAGTGCCACCTCCGACTGAGGACACTCTTGAGCCCATGTGCAGCATCCTCTGTCAGGTCACCGAAATCTGTATATATAGGAATAACCACACAGAAAAAGGGCTCAATGTAAACAAACCATGACAATTGCAAATCTCTTTGCATTGTACAATGCTGCATATGTAAAAACACTACAAAGTAGGTGAATCCATCTTAAACTGAAGGATGTTAGTATATATTGGGTGCCAAATGGGATATGTTGATTAATGTTTGATATCGTGCTTGACAATTAGTCAATAGACATGATGATGAATAGTTTCAGTAATTTACTATTTCACTTCGGCCTGACACAGTGACAGATGTGTTCTACTTATGTAAGACATGCAATGTGTTGAAGAGTGGATGAAAATATTCAAATGTTAAGATCTCAGACATACTGCTGGTTGTGATGCCCTCCAAAGTCTGTCCTCTCAGTGCTTCCACTTCTTGCACTTCCTTCAGAAGGAACATGATGTGCTGCGACATCTCTCTCACCAGGATGCTCTGCTCCTCCTCCAAACGTCTGACCAGCATTACCTGCTCAAAGACAGACCTCTTCAACCTGAAGGTGTTGCCTTTAGGTTGAGGAAAGGAATGGAGTAGTGGACAAGGAATATTTATTCATAAATTAAATTATTACAGAATGATTTTCATTTCTGAGACACAAATCTTTGTAGCGATAGCATTGGTTCTCTATAATGTAAACTAATAACACATATTATATATTTGCAGGTATCACCATTGCTTTTTCTGCCCCACGATAAACTGTCATATTTTGGTATGGACTAAAAAAACAACAAGCCAAACTAGCAATTCCCCCACCATTTGCATGCCTCTCCCATGGTAGGGTGTAGCCCTCTGTCAGACTGCAAGCCAACTCCTCGTCAATCTGTTCTTCCTGCACTCCGGTGTTGTATTGCACAACTTTTTCGCGAAGCTTCTTCTTCAGCTCTCTCATTCTCTTCCTCTTTCTTTGCCTTGCCTGGTTGCTGTCTGCAAAGTGAAACGGAAACAAAACTGTGTCATGGTGCCAGAATGTTTTTGCTGTTTTTGAAGTGTAATTTCAATAACTACGTTTGACAACAAACCATGCTGACGATACAGATCTTGCTTCCTGCGCAAAAGAGTGACGGTGATGTTCTCAATATCCACCCTCAGTCCTTCAGTACACCCTGGGGCGTAAACTCTCTCTAAATAGTTGCAATAAAACAATTGGAGAAGAGATACAATCAGTGACAGTCTCAGTTTCAACATATAGCCAACTTATATTGTATGTCTAAACTTACAGTAATTAACAGATGTATATATGGAAAACCTGTGGTACGTCTTACCTGTGACCGCCCATTGCCTGACATCATACACCCACTGCTGTATGGTCTCCTGATCAAGGTTGTGCTCCTTTTTGAAGTCGCTGAAGCTTCCACCTTTGCCCTCTGTGATCTTTACAAAAAAAAGAAAATGTCAGAGCAAAAGCGCCATGCAACACCATAATGCAAAGAACACCAGTTTTCAGTACAAGACCTTCAGAAGAACAGTTGAAACATGGTGGTGTCACAACATGACACCATCTGACTTGCAAGAGGAAGTGTGGATAAGGGAGAACATCATGTATATAGCCATGAGGTTACATTGCAGACATCCTTCATATGTAATGTCAGATGAGAAGACAATTGTAATTTGCCCTTACTTTGACATATCTGTGTGCTAAAACTTGATGAAGGTTGTCCCTCTTCCTTCTGTTCCATCCCGTGGCCTGTTGAGTAAGCAGGTTCCCTCTTCCTTCTGTTCCATCCCATGGCCTGTTGAGTAAGCAGGTTCCCTCTTCCTTCTGTTCCATCCCATGGCCTGTTGAGTAAGCATGTTCCCTCTACCTTCTGTTCCATCCCGTGGCCTGTTGAGTGAGCAGGTTCCCTCTTCCTTCTGTTCCATCCCATGGCCTGTTGAGTAAGCATGTTCCCTCTACCTTCTGTTCCATCCCGTGGCCTGTTGAGTGAGCATGTTCCCTCTTCCTTCTGTTCCATCCCATGGCCTGTTGAGTAAGCAGGTTCCCTCTACCTTCTGTTCCATCCCGTGGCCTGTTGAGTGAGCAGGTTCCCTCTTCCTTCTGTTCCATCCCGTGGCCTGTTGAGTGAGCAGGTTCCCTCTTCCTTCTGTTCCATCCCATGGCCTGTTGAGTAAGCAGGTTCCCTCTACCTTCTGTTCCATCCCGTGGCCTGTTGAGTAAGCATGTTCCCTCTTCCTTCTGTTCCATCCCATGGCCTGTTGAGTAAGCAGGTTCCCTCTTCCTTCTCTTCCATCCCATGGCCTGTTGAGTAAGCAGGTTCCCTCTTCCTTCTGTTCCATCCCGTGGCCTGTTGAGTGAGCATGTTCCCTCTTCCTTCTGTTCCATCCCATGGCCTGTTGAGTAAGCAGGTTCCCTCTACCTTCTGTTCCATCCCGTGGCCTGTTGAGTGAGCAGGTTCCCTCTTCCTTCTGTTCCATCCCATGGCCTGTTGAGTGAGCAGGTTCCCTCTTCCTTCTGTTCCATCCCGTGGCCTGTTGAGTGAGCATGTTCCCTCTTCCTTCTGTTCCATCCCATGGCCTGTTGAGTAAGCAGGTTCCCTCTACCTTCTGTTCCATCCCGTGGCCTGTTGAGTGAGCAGGTTCCCTCTTCCTTCTGTTCCATCCCATGGCCTGTTGAGTGAGCATGTTCCCTCTTCCTTCTGTTCCATCCCATGGCCTGTTGAGTAAGCAGGTTCCCTCTACCTTCTGTTCCATCCCGTGGCCTGTTGAGTGAGCATGTTCCCTCTTCCTTCTGTTCCATCCCGTGGCCTGTTGAGTGAGCATGTTCCCTCTTCCTTCTGTTCCATCCCATGGCCTGTTGAGTGAGCAGGTTCCCTCTTCCTTCTGTTCCATCCCGTGGCCTGTTGAGTAAGCATGTTCCCTCTTCCTTCTGTTCCATCCCATGGCCTGTTGAGTAAGCAGGTTCCCTCTTCCTTCTGTTCCATCCCGTGGCCTGTTGAGTAAGCATGTTCCCTCTTCCTTCTGTTCCATCCCGTGGCCTGTTGAGTGAGCATGTTCCCTCTTCCTTCTGTTCCATCCCATGGCCTGTTGAGTAAGCAGGTTCCCCTCTTCCTTCTGTTCCATCCCGTGGCCTGTTGAGTGAGCAGGTTCCCTCTTCCTTCTGTTCCATCCCATGGCCTGTTGAGTGAGCAGGTTCCCTCTTCCTTCTGTTCCATCCCGTGGCCTGTTGAGTAAGCATGTTCCCTCTTCCTTCTGTTCCATCCCATGGCCTGTTGAGTAAGCAGGTTCCCTCTTCCTTCTGTTCCATCCCGTGGCCTGTTGAGTAAGCATGTTCCCTCTTCCTTCTGTTCCATCCCGTGGCCTGTTGAGTGAGCATGTTCCCTCTTCCTTCTGTTCCATCCCATGGCCTGTTGAGTAAGCAGGTTCCCTCTTCCTTCTGTTCCATCCCATGGCCTGTTGAGTAAGCAGGTTCCCTCTTCCTTCTGTTCCATCCCATGGCCTGTTGAGTGAGCATGTTCCCTCTTCCTTCTGTTCCATCCCATGGCCTGTTGAGTAAGCAGGTTCCCTCTTCCTTCTGTTCCATCCCGTGGCCTGTTGAGTGAGCATGTTCCCTCTTCCTTCTGTTCCATCCCATGGCCTGTTGAGTAAGCAGGTTCCCTCTTCCTTCTGTTCCATCCCGTGGCCTGTTGAGTAAGCAGGTTCCCTCTTCCTTCTGTTCCATCCCGTGGCCTGTTGAGTAAGCAGGTTCCCTCTTCCTTCTGTTCCATCCCATGGCCTGTTGAGTGAGCAGGTTCCCTCTTCCGTCTGTTCCATCCCATGGCCTGTTGAGTGAGCATGTTCCCTCTTCCTTCTGTTCCATCCCATGGCCTGTTGAGTGAGCATGTTCCCTCTTCCTTCTGTTCCATCCCATGGCCTGTTGAGTAAGCAGGTTCCCTCTTCCTTCTGTTCCATCCCATGGCCTGTTGAGTGAGCATGTTCCCTCTTCCTTCTGTTCCATCCCATGGCCTGTTGAGTAAGCATGTTCCCTCTTCCTAAAAAACACAACAATATATCCACAAACAAAAAAGCAAGTATTCACATCAAAAAGGCAGTACTGAGTGAGAAACCTGACAGACTAAACCCAATCGTTAAAAGGTTGTTGAACTGGTAATACACCAATAATGTTTTTACGGAGGGAACTCTCTGTAAAATACTTCTCACAGTGTGTAGTGTTAATACCAACCTGATTTTGTCATGTATTTTGTGACCAGAGCTGGAGAGAAAGCTGTTCACCTATAATGAATGTTACAATGAATGTTCGGTCACCATTACATAACAATATTACCTACACATCATAGATCTTGAACTGGATGGTTTAAGAGAAAACTTGTGTACTGACTTCCTACAATGTGCATGCATTTATTGTTGCTGAACATATGAGCTGCCTATCTTTCATTTGAACTCAGACATAAAGGATATGCTTTAAACTAATCAGCAGGCTTGTCACTGAGATGACACATACATATTTGTACTGCTTTCTATTAAGACCTCTTGTATCCATACAGTTATAATAATGCCATTAATAACATACCTGCTCTACTTCCTCTCCCACTGTGTTTCCTGCCCCGTCCTGACTTCTGCCACCCTCTCACCTGCAACACAGCGCAAATAGTGTTATATAGCAACGTGTTTGATATCCAATAAGGCATGCCATGCACAACATTAAAAATCCTTTGCATTAAAGATGTTATGTTACGTTACGTTCCCTTGTATATCTAGGGGTACCAAGGGAAGTAGCGACACACCAGGATGACCAAGCACGACAAAAAGGGAGAGAAAACCGATCTCTGAGGAACGAACAAGTCGTTTAATGATCAATCAGGAACACGGCTCACCAGCCAACTTGCAAAACAAATCTCGCTACAACTATATATATATATTGGAGACATGGACACCACGCTGCACACATCCAGCCCGGAGAGAAGGAGAGAGAGAGACTGCAGCTTTTCCCAGGTCCTTTATGGAGGCCCTGATTAGTGATTGGGAGCACCTGAGGAGAAGCTGCACCTGGAGACAATATAGAGGGAGAGAGAGAAACACACACCACGGCACGTAACACTTCCCCCCATAAAACCAAACAAGTGTTTGGTCACCGTTACCAACAACACCCACCACCCAGTTCACCAGCATACCATTGGATGCTTGGAAGCTGCCACCTGCTGCTTCCAAGCATCACACTCCGCCGCCAAATGACCAGGGTCAAGACAAAAGAAACACAATCTCCTAGTGTCGGGACCTGGGAGAGAAACAGACGGAGCACGTGTGACACGTCTGTTACGAGCCCTACAGTGAGGATAACTGCCCTGAGGATACACCTTACCCCCGGCTATATCGTTACCCATTATGACATCCACACCGTCGACAGGACATTTGGGGAGCACAGCAACCAGTAGCCAGTTCAGACTGGACATGGACATTGTGAAGAGGTGCAGGCACAGAACCCATTTCAATACCTCTCACCACCATATTCGCATCACAGGCAGACTCAGCACTCAGGGGCAGGGCACCGGCAAGGATGAATGACTGTGAGCCACCACTGTCTCGCAACACCGTGACCTGCCGCTGGTCCTCCACCTTTCCTGACAGAGAGACAAAGGCAGTAGAGATGAACGGTTTCAAGCACTCATCAGGTCCTTTGTTACCAGTGGCCCGTCCACTAGGACACACTGCAGTAACCAATCCCACCCCTTCTGGGCGCTTGCCATCCACTGTCTGCTTTCTCTTCCAAGCTGCACAGTCTGCTATCATATGATCTGGGTCCAGACAAAAATAACAAGCTCTGTTTATCCTGGGACCTAACAATGGAACACTGGCACCGGGAACGTAATTATCAGGAGCTCTACGATAAGTGTCCCGCTGAGGAGGATCATGCTGAAAAAAAACGCTCTTGTGTATCAGCGCAAACTCGTCTGCCATAATGGCAGCCTGCTGAAGGGTAGTCACTTTCTGCTCATTCAGATAGACTACCGTACGCTCCGGTACACAGTGTTTAAACTCCTCTAACATCATCAGCTCACACACTGAAGCAATGTCATCAGCTTTACACGCTCTACACCACCTGTCAAAGAGGACTTTCTTCTCCCTCGCGAAGTCCACGTACGTTTGGCCAGAAGCTTTCTTCATGCCGCGAAAACGCTGCCTGTAGGCCTCAGGCACAAGCTCATATACCCTAAGAATAGCACCTTTCACATTGTCATACACCAAACTATCCTCGACAGAAAGAGAAGAGCAAGCCGCTTGAGCCTTGCCGACTAGCTTGCACTGTAACAGAATAGCCCACACGTCTTCTGGCCAGTGCAGGGCAGCAGCAATGCGCTCAAATGCACCAAAATAGACTTCCACCTCTGATTCACGAAACACAGGGACCAAAGAAATATGCCTGCTCACGTCAAAGGAGGCAGCAGGACCAGAAGGTGTAACTGCGGGATCACCCATCCCAGCTGCTTGGAGTTCTAGCTGACGCATCCGGACAGCTGTGTCTGCCTCCAGCTGCTGCTTCCTGATCTCCAGCTCCAGCTCCTGCTTCCTGATCTCCAGCTCCTGCTCCTGCTTCCTGATCTCCAGCTCTTGCTCCTGCTTCCTGATCTCCAGCTCCTGCTTCCTGATCTCCAGCTCTTGCTCCTGCTTCCTGATCTCCAGCTCCTGCTTCCTGATCTCCAGCTCCTGCTTCCTGATCTCCAGCTCCTGCTTCCTGATCTCCAGCTCCTGCTTCCTGATCTCCAGCTCCTGCTTCCTGATCTCCAGCTCCAGCTCCTGCTTCCTGATCTCCAGCTCTTGCTCCTGCTTCCTGATCTCCAGCTCCCTCCTGAGCTGAAAATCCCTATCTCGCTCCTCCCTCTCACACTGGAGATGAGCCATACGCATTTTTACCCTAGCATCTAATTTAGACCCCGTAGGTGAGGATCCTGCCGAGAACGAGTCAAACTGAGGTGTGGTGAAAAGTGTTGCCTGTTCCGTAGCACTCTGAACCACCGCGCCAGGAGATTCCACTGAAGCAGGCCGCCTCAAAACCCCCTGTTCAACTAGTCCAGTTATCAAAGTAGCCTTGAGTTCACTTTTTACCAGAGCAGAGGAGACAGAAACATGATAATGTTCAGCAACTAACCGCAAATCAACCTTCCTACAGCAGTCTAGCTGACCCACAGTAGGACTGGCCACAAACTGCTCCAAAACAAAAACCATCTTTTGCAACAGCTACTTATAAATATATATATATATTTTTTTTAAATTTTATTTATTATTAACTTCCCCAGATCCTGCCTACCAAACTTACCTAACTATCTTCTGGGGCGTGCCGGGCTCGAGGCGACTTTAAAGGCAAACATCAGTGGCCGAAACCCTGAATCGCCTGCCCCCACCAGGGAACAAACCCCCACCAGGGAACAAACCCCCACCAGGGAATAAATCCCCACCAGGGAATAAATCCCCACCAGGGAATAAATCCCCACCAGGGAACAAGCCCCCACCAGGGAACAAGCCCCCACCAGGGAACAAACCCCCACCAGGGAATAAACCCCCACCAGGGAACAAACCCCCACCAGGGAACAAACCCCCACCAGGGAATAAACCCCCACCAGGGAATAAATCCCCACCAGGGAACAAGCCCCCACCAGGGAACAAGCCCCCACCAGGGAACAAGCCCCCACCAGGGAACAAGCCCCCACCAGGGAATAAACCCCCACCAGGGAATAAATCCCCACCCAGGATTACCCCGAAAATAAAAAAGGCAAAAAAAAAATGAGTGCCTGAAGGAAGGACTGATTCAGTCCAGCTAGACACTCCCCTCTCTAAACTGAGGAAGATGTTCAACAGTAAATACTTTCACAGCCAATTCTACACTTATACTCTACTGCTCTCCACCAAACACCATATCAACACTAACCAACAACCAAATACTCACTCTGTGTCTCAAAGATTGGACGAGCCCCCATGTTACGTTCCCTTGTATATCTAGGGGTACCAAGGGAAGTAGCGACACACCAGGATGACCAAGCACGACAAAAAGGGAGAGAAAACCGATCTCTGAGGAACGAACAAGTCGTTTAATGATCAAACAGGAACACGGCTCACCAGCCAACTTGCAAAACAAATCTCGCTACAACTATATATATATATTGGAGACATGGACACCACGCTGCACACATCCAGCCCGGGGAGAAGGGAGAGAGAGACTGCAGCTTTTCCCAGGTCCTTTATGGAGGCCCTGATTAGTGATTGGGAGCACCTGAGGAGAAGCTGCACCTGGAGACAATATAGAGGGAGAGAGAGAAACACACACACACACCACGGCACGTAACAACCTCGCATGTTGCTGTATGGGCTTTAGCATGCATCACGCTAATAAATGGCCTCATTTCTGTCAACGGCAGAAGCTCTGGTAATCCCTCGGCTATTTTATTAAGGTATGGCCAGTACCTAAGAAGCAGGAGCAGCATTTTGTGATTGAGTGTTACAAAGATACACTTTTAATTGACATGACAACAATATCAATATCATCTCAAATGACTGCTGAGGCATAGGCCATTTTAAACATTGTTGTGGATGTGCAATATGACAGTGAGGATTACCTGCATGTTACATCCATACAGAAGAAGTCAACATTTGCCTTCTTGGACATCTCTTTTTGGAGAAACATTGGGTACGCGTATATATTTCTCCACGGAAGTGGTTCAGTCCTCGTAAGAGAAACCCATGTCTGATTAATCAGAAGAAAATCTAGTTGTTAATAATAAACTGACACAGCAAGGCCTGGCTTAAGCACTCTGTCATCTAGGTGGCTCTAACAACAAATATCACTTGGATGCTACAAAGGATGGATCAATTCCGCTCCACAATCAAAAGTGTTTAATGCTTCCAATTCTTACAAAGACTTAGACTTGGATTGCTATTAAAACTGAAATAATGAGACCAGACTCAAGAAGCAACACATATACACACACAGACACACTTACAGATACAGACCTGCAAACTCCTCGTCTATCTGGGCACCAGACCTTTTTCACATCTCTCTGCCAGCGGTGAATTTGGCAGTACCACAGACGGCACTGTCATTTCCCTATAAAGTCAGTTTATTACACACAAGTTTTGACATATATAAAAGAGAACACCACAGGTGTAACTGCAACTATCATAATAAGAACAAAAACGTACACTTTTCATGTTGCCTCTGACAAGGTCAACAAATGTTGACCTTGGCCAGGAACAAGCCCTCATAGATTGGCGGCTCCTCAGTCCTGTCCATGATAAGTTAACATACAAGTCAATAATGAAACTCACAAAGCACTACATTACTATGATTTGTTTTAATGTCTGTTATGGCTACTCAAACACAACCCCAAGGGCTACTATTTGTATTAGCGGTGTGTTCTTTATCATTTTCATTAATACCTATACACACCCTTTTGACTTGGAAAAGCGGTAATGCTTGCGGTTTCCATCCCAGCAGACAGCCCACATGTCTGGAGAACATGCTGGACAAACCAAGTGATGGACCTGGCACATATCCTCTTGTTTGTACTGACAGAAGCTAAACTCGAAGAAGCTTCGCTGAAATGTATCAGCACAGATAATACCTGTCTGTATATTGATTTTAAAAAAGTGGATTAGTAATTGTTTTGAAAGCAATGCCAACAATTTATGATATGGTATACAGTAATATGATATTGCTTTTTGTATGTTTCCGTGTGATTCAGATTTACCCGTCCAGCTTGAACAGATCTGTGCTCCAACATTTTCAGAAATGCCTGCCTGGACACGGCTGGTGCTGTCACCTTCATGTGCTCCAATGAGGTGAACACATCATATTTGTAAAGCGTCTGGCAGCTGGTGCTAGCTGGCCAGTACCGATACAAAAGCAGGTCTTTAACCTCAGGACTCCATTCTGCAGAGCAGGATGGACAGGATTTCCGAGGCAAGCAGGCATTGTATCGTCCTGTGAACAAATAAAGGTATTTCGGTAATTAAACTGTGAGTTTGCCTTAAAATATTGGATTTTATACATAGATTTGCATATATGATATATTAGCTATTTGACATGGCATTTGGGTGTTGTCTGAAAATGACCAGGTGATACAAATCTTTGCATTGCACAAAGTGGTAAAACTCTGCCGTACAATACTACTTGTACAAAAAGAAGGGCTTTCAGAACAACATACCGTTGATGGTGACCACAGAAATATGCTTCCAAGGAGTCACTGTGACGTCATCAGAGCATTCACAGATTGACCTTGGAGTAGGAACAGGCAGTTGACATACTGCAATATAGAAAATAAATTAGGAAGGGTGTATTTACAGTTTTTCCTTAATTCTCCAGATTATAAAGATATTCAATAAAATGTTGCATAACTTCCACATACCTTGCAGCCCTAGTCAAAACCAATCATACTTTTTTCAATCAGCTATGTACACTTCCCATTCGCACTTCATTTTGGGAACTACATTATAATGGGACATTGTAATGTAATGTTAACCTTTACATACTTTGTTCACAAAACTGAGGCTGGCCATTTTCATCCACCACCACAGCAGTTGTCGGGGAATGGGCTCCAGAAATCCATTGAACACAGCCTCTCTGTCATGGAAGATATTCCTCTTGTGGGCCTCCATGTCACAGGTTGCACAGAGGAACTCCATGTGGAACACAGTCCAGGCACCTAATAGCCGCTTCTTCTGCACAGCATCTGTGGCACTTCTGAATGGCTATTCTCTCAGCTGAGAGTTTTGCATTAAAAAGCATTGGCCTAGCTGTTTTCATTCTCCCATCTGTGAGAAGCTGCCTTTGTGCCCAGGCAGAAACCGGTCCGTCTGTTGCCTCCGGAACCTGGACTGCAGTTAGGGCGTCCCTTAACTCTTAAAGATGAGTTTCTAAAAAATAAAACAGCTGTTAAGCCGCCACCCTAAAACTGGTATGACGGATATTAAGGTAGTATACTGAACCACTTTTGAGTTGGAAAAAGATATGCGGACTAATAATAGCAACATGCTATGAATCATCATATGCATCCAAAGCAATATTAGCAAGTGATACTTATACCAAATATGCATTCACTTGTCATGAAACAGTCAATACTCAATACTTTATTATGATTAACTAGATGAGTATAAAAATGGAAACATTGGGAAAAACTGTAGTGCCAGTCAACTGCTGTTATAATCAATATACTCACCAAGACTACACTCTTGATGTTCTAGCTGAAGGCCTTCCTCGTGCACAGGATCGTCTCTTCTGGCTTGTGAAGCTGCAGAGACTTCCTTTTTGCTTAACCCTTCAATCAATCTAAAAGGACACCAATTCATTGTAATATGAAAATGCTCTGTAAGGACTGTAGGTAATGAAACTAAGAACATATTACCACAGCATCACAATGACAATTTACATTTGGCATACTTTTATCCAAATGGAGGTACACATTTAAAAATACAACACAGGCAAGGATTCTCATCACAGGCTCTTAAAATATCTTCATTTCATTTGGAAATGTTTTAAACATTGCAACAGATTTGTCAAGAGGTATCTTTAAATGACATCATTTCATTCTGTGTACACCAAAATAACTTTGTTATGAATGATCTTTATTCTTAGAAATCATGATATAGTAAAGAACTAACCTGATGCGGGGCGTTGTGTTTCCCGTTGTCTCTCACGTCTGCGTGACCACTGGATTAGAAAGAGGTCTCTTCCTGCCTTGTTCTTTCTCCGCAGGGAGCAGGGGTTTCCGTGGCCATGGCAGTCTATCTTTTTTCAGAGGTTGAGATCAACAACAAAGTTGTAATACAACATAAGACAGCAGCACTTATATTTGAGCAATTATTTAACGGTTGCATAAAAAGGACTAACTGTCCCTTTACATGACATCAATAAAAAGCAATAGCAATGATTATATTACAGACTTGGGTATTTGCTTATCATGAAAAGCCTCACCCTGGCCTCAAGGAGATGAGCCTCGCTAATCAATGCAGCCATGTGCACCGTGGCCTCATTGAGATCCTCAAGACCCTCACTTCAGGGTTGAGGGACATGGCATACAAATAATACAAACAATACACAACATGAAGAGTGAGAGAAAGACAGGAGAGTGATTAACAGAGAAAGTGAGAGAGTGATTAAAAGAGAAAGTGAGAGAGTGATTAAAAGAGAAAGTGAGAGAGTGATAGAAAGAGAGACAGTGAGAGAAAGAGTGGCTCTTAAAAGTGCCGTTGGTTTTATATGTGTGTGTGTTGATGTGTGTGTGTGTGGATATGTGTGTGTGTGTGGATATGTGTGTGTGTGTGGATATGTGTGTGTGTGTGGATATGTGTGTGTGGATATGTGTGTGTGTGTGTGGATATGTGTGTGTGTGGATATGTGTGTGTGTGGATATGTGTGTGTGTGGATATGTGTGTGTGTGTGTGGATATGTGTGTGTGTGTGGATATGTGTGTGTTGGTGATATTAAGTGTTGTAATGAAGCTGTAAAACAGAAAAAAATAAAACATGATTAGGATTATTTAGAATAACAGTAACATCTGTGTAATACTCTATGCAATAATAATTCATCTGAGCAATACTCTGGCACCGTACCGCACCGTTGTGACGAAAAGGGAGCTGAGCCAGAAGGCAAAGCTCTCTGTCTACCGGGCCATTTTGGTTCCTACCCTCACCTATGGTCATGAAGGATGGGTCATGACCGAAAGAACCAGATCGCGGATACAAGCGGCCGAGATGGGTTTTCTCCGATGCAATAATAATTCATCTGAGCAATACTCTGGCATACATTATGCATTTATACTGTGCATATTGTTATATTATGCACTTGTTTTTCTTATATCTCCTACTATATATTTAAATTCTACAATGTAACAATCCCAATTTCCCCCGGAGATCAATGAAGTGTTTCTGATTCAGAGTGGGACATTGGGTGGCCAGTCAAATCCTCTGGAAAACTCCAGTTCCACATTTTGTTCCACTCCATAGCCGATGCATTAGCCACTATTAAACTGTGTTGAACACTGTCTTTACAACACATGTGCAAATACATAAATGTAAACATATTTTTCTAGCACGCACCTCCACTATCCAACTGTGCCGGTGACAGCTAATGTAATTTAGCTGTATAAACTATAAATGCTATCCAGCTCAAAACGTTGACCGGAAGGCCGGAGGCTAGCTGAACGTGGCCGCTAGTTGGCCTATTGTAAAAGCTAAACACCATGGGCGTCGCCTGGGGTAGGCATCCGGGGCTTTAGCCCCGGATGTTTTTTCTTTAGCCCCGGACAAATTCTCCCTCAATAATATAATACATGAACCGTACTTTACCTAGAGGACGGCATGATTGTAATTTCCCGTGTTCAGTGAATGCAACAGAGGCAAGACACCACCAAACCAATCAGAGAGTTGCATGGAAATAAACGTGTTTTATTGGCTGACAGGTACGTACCTCTCCTCTGTGACAATGTTTAAACTTTAAACTGTCAGCCCCGGACGCGGAGATTCTGAAGATGGACATTAGACTTTTTTTTAATAAAAAAGATGGCAATTCTCAGGTGGTGGCTCTCACAACAACCCCAGAGCCACCACCTGAGCCAGGTGAACAAGGTATGTACCTGTCAGTAAACTTACAAGTTATGCGAACATGTAAGCAAAGCATAAATTATAGCTACGTTGACGTTACTTTGAATCGCGCGGGTAAGCTAAACCGTTAGCAAGTAGCTATAGCTAGCCAGATATATTAAATAAACACTTTGTTATACAATCTAAATGTCCTGTTTTTTAGCGTTACTTGGTGATTTCAAAGAAAACTCTCTGGGAAATGTTGACTTACTGTTCGACATGAAGCTAGAAGCTACCTTACAGTACACAGTTGATCCTGAGTCCTGTCAGTTAAAGTGTTTCATAGTTAGCTTAGCTAAGCATCAACCTAGCACTGAAATATATGGATATTATGTGACAGTATTTCTGAGGAAAAGTCAGCTGAAATGGTGGCATAGTTGCCACTGCTTTACGTGTCGACAGCATGTTTGAAGTATTTGCAGCAGTAAATGTGGCTGTTTGGCCACTGACGTTGCCATAACAACACCTGCATTTAAATGTGCAACCTCTTTTTGTGACAGATTTTTGCATGAAATTATAATTCTTCTGAATGAAATGTCCTATTGACAACTAGTTTCATTATGAGATGGACAGCCAGCTAACAAGCTTTTTATACAAATATTTCAGATCAAAGCTAATCCAGTGGGGCTCCTGAAAGGGGGCAAGGGACACTATGCTCCCAAATATTAAGCCTTGACCCCCATCTTAAAATTGATATGATCAAAAAATGATCTGCATTGTCGGAGGCCTTTTTTCCTCATTATCATGTCAAATTGTACAGCTTTCCTTAGTGTTGAAAGCAGAAAGATGACTATATTAGAGTATTAAGTGAAAATGACTATATTAAAGTGTTAAGTGAATATATTAAGTGAATTACTCAAACTGCATTTGTAGGAATGATTCTGTCCTATTGGCAGATAACTACTCTTAATAGTGATATCTACGAGAGGTTTCCAATGTAAATTTAACTATTTTCAATTAGTTAGTATTACATTTTGTGACAGTGTGGTGACACTCATTTTAATAAAGACACATTTGTGTATCTTGAAATTCATTTATTTGACAGAGCTGGAAACTGATTGACTTACATACTTGTTTGTGTTTACCTACACAGTCATCACAGATGAGCCAAACAGAGTAGAGGATGAAGAAAGGAGAACAGGAGAAAGGGACACACAAGAAGGAGATACAACAGACAAGAACGACAATGGAGACAACAATGAACAGGAACACCAGAACAGACAAGAGTCAATGGTTAACCATTTTTTTTTTTTAAATAATAAACCCGTTTCTGATTCTGATTCTTTGATTTCTTTTTGACATATGGGTGTTGAGAGATGTATCCATATCTCTTAATGTTGCTCTCAAACCGCACAAGATTGATGCTTTTAACTTCAACATTTAAAAAAAATCTTCCTGGGGGACCCCAGAGGAGGTTAGTTCCCCCCAAAATAGCACTCATTGCACTTATGTAACTCCGGTGTATTGTCCCCTCGGCAACAGATCACTCAGAGCTGATTACTTTCCTGCATTTCAATGGACAGATTATAAAAAGGACACGTGAGCTGCATTGCTTAAGAGATCCTCTCATGCTATCTCTTTTACAAAATAAGTGTCCAGTCAACAACAAAACATCAGTGATCGTATAGTGGTAGTATATTTTTCACAAGTAATGTGAAACATTAAACTTATACAAACTGGTGTACAAAACTCACATACCTGCGTTGATCTACTGGAGTGTCTCTACTCTTTCTTCTCCACATCTCTTGTCCACCATCAGAGATTGCAAACATTTCAGAAACAGGTAGGAGACAAACAACTTGTTCGCTGGGCATGTCAAAAACCTCCTGCTTTGATCAAGACTTTAGGGAGCCTTTTAGCCCCTCTAGCAAAGGGACTGGAAAGCAAGCTTTGAAAATTCAGTACCATCTACATGCTGTCATGTTCCAGACACTGCTCTCAACCACTCAGGTTCTGCACAAATACCTGCAGAAAGAAACACTTGACTTGGTGCAGGCAGTAGATTACAAAACAGCAGTTGAGAACACACTGAAAAGTTACCGAAGTAACGAGAAAGCACATGAGGTCTATGACAAGACCAAGGCCCTGTGCAATGATCTTGATATTCCCGAAACTGTGACACAGAGGAAGAAGCGTAGAAACATGGAAGACTTTGTAGTCAAGGCATCATGTGGAGCAATGTGAAACCATCCATCCATCCAT